ACCAAAAGGACTGCAAAGAAAACTTAAATAACTGAGTAGGTTAGTAGGTTTATTGTTAATAGTCATGTGGGTGTAGTAACTCTGAAACAAGTTTACATGTATTGTAGAATTGAGCAAAGGAGTAAATATATTGATTTTGTTAGGAGCTAAGTTTCTCACGGTGAAAGAAAGGAGCTACAAATATAAAATAGTGAAAGGCAAGAATGACATGAAATGGCTATTTTCCCCAGTCTGTTCACTGGAAGGACATGAGCAATGACACCTTAATGGCAGTGAGCACACATAGTTCCAGATCTCGGAATCTAATATCACTCCCCACTACAAAGAACCAAGAGTCCTTAGCAAAAATGGCTGAGTACAGGGCTGCAGCTGAGAGAGTGAGCCTGGATCGTCTTGTGCCAGAAATGAGAATGTGCTCAAAGAATGACAGGCATAGAAGCCAGATTGAAGGAGCTTTCACTGGCTAAATCTGGGACAAGCTGAGCATCAAAATAAGTAATGATAGTAATGGTTTATAGCCCATTGAATAAAATCAGAATTCATGGATCCATATTGAGAGAAGTAAATAAATAAGGGAGAAGGAAAGACCCATAGAGTAAAATGTTAAGTAATAAATGCAGAAGGAATGATAGAATTTAAAAATCACTATCTGGCAATTATAGTAATTTGACTCAGGCAAGAACCATCAATTACTATAAGGAACAGAATATTCACATAACTTCAAGTAATCGCCCCATAGGTTACTTATTTGTTATCACAACAGGCAAATAGTAACTTTACAGTAGAGAAACTTGAAGGACATGTCCAGGCTTGTAATCAAAGTTAGCATCACCAATATGGGAACAAGTCACAGTCAACTGCCACCCAATAAGATCAGTGAGAAAAAAGCATCGCTTTGGGGGTATTTCTTCCACCTTGTAATATCCTGAATCTAATGATGTAGCAGACAAACTCCAATAGAGGGACATCCTACAAAATAATTGGCCCCATCTCTTCAAAGTGTCAAAGTTGAGAGGACAAAGAAAGGCTAAGACTTGTCCAAATGAAGGAAGGCTAAAGAGACATGACAACTGAAATGCAACAGGTGATCTTGGATTGGATCCTGAACCTGAAATATTCTTACTACAGAGGACAAGTAGGAGAATGGGTGAAATCTGAATGAAGTCTGTGGGTTGGATAACAGTGTTTTATCAATGTTAATTTCCTGATTTTAGCTCATTTGCATTGTAGTTATATAAGAGAATATCTGACTAAAATATTTTTAATTTTTCTTTATATATAATATATATAATATATATTTAAATTGTATTGTTGAAAGTATTACAGATGTCACCCATTTTCTCCCCTTTGCCCTCCTCCATCCATCTCCCACCCCACCCCAGGCCTTCACCTGTCTATTGTCTGTGTCCATGGGCTATGCATATATGTTTATAAGTTCTTCGGCTAATCTCTTCTCACCCTCCTTCTCAGTTGTCATTCAATATTTTTTAAAAAGTTCCTCTACCAAGTGAATTTTACTGTGTATAAGGTTGCACAATTTTTTATCACATACAAGAATATTGGAATATTTTGACTTATTTGGATAAAATGTGTTGTCCCATTCAATAAAGTTTTTCAGTACTATGCTATTGAAGGAGATCAAGATACATTCTTTTTTTAAAAATTTATTTTATTGTTGAAAGTGTTACAGATGTGTCACCCATTTTCTCTCCATTCAGTTTCTCAGTTTAGCATACCATCTTTAAGTTGATGAAGTTTTTGTTCAGCTTTGTTGCGTAATAGTTTACATTAAAAAGTTTGACAACCAGTATATCTTTTGCACTTTTTATGGGCTTTAAAGAAATTTAGTGCATGACAGTTGGTAATAGCATTTTATCACTCACATACTATTAATTTTATGAGCATTCTTGCCTCTTATGTTTAGATGATGTGGATTCTTTATAACAGAATAAAATACTTTTTTATTAAATTTATCTTTATTGTTGAAAGTATTACAGATATCTCCCCTTTTTTCCCCCATTGATCCCCTCCACCCCACATCTGCCACCCTAGGCCTTCACCACACTATTATCTGTGTCCATGGATTATGCATATATGAATATAAGTTCTTTGATTAATCTCTCTCACTGAGATTCATCAGTCTGTTCCATGCTTCTATGTCTCTGGATCTATTTTGTTCCTCAGTCTATTTTGTTTATTAGATTCCACATATGAGTGAGATCATGTAAAACTGAATCAGGAAGAATCAGAAAACCTGAATAGGCCAATAATAACTGATGAACTTGAAGCAGTAATAAAAAAAAAAAAACTCCCAGCAAACAAAAGCCCTGGTCCAGACACCTTCACAGGGGAGCTTTCTAATTCTTTAAGTTGTAGGGTTAGATAGTTTATTAAAATTTTTTCTTGCTTTTTGAGGTAGGCCTGCAGTGCTATGAACTTCCGTCTTAGGACTGCTTTTGCTGTGTCCCATAGATTTGGGGTTGTTGTGTTTTCATTTTCATTAGTTTTCAGGAAGCTTTTTATTTCTTTCTTGATCTTATTGGTAGCCCACTCATTGTTTAATAACATGTTCTTTAGCCTCCATGTGTTTGAATGTTTTTGATTGTTTTTAATGTAGTTGGTTTCTAGATTCATGATATGATTTTAATCTTCTTGAACTTGTAGAGACTGGCTTTGTGTTCTAACATGTGGTCTATCTTTGAGGATAACCCATGTGCATTTAAGAGGAATATATATTCTACAGCTTTGGGGTGAAGTGTTCTTAAATATCAATTAAATCCATCTGATCTAGTGTGCCATTTAGAGTCACTGTCTCTGTGTTGACTCTTTGTCTGGAAGATCTATCCAGTGACATCAGTGAGGTATTAAAGTCCATGACTATGACTATATTGCTGTTGACCTCTCCCTTAAAGCCCTTAAGGTTATTATTGATAGGTCCTAATTTATTGTCATTTTAATTTTTTATGCCTATGTTTCTCTCTTTGTTTCTTCTTATTATTACAACAGTCTCTTTAACGTTTCCTGCAATGCTGGTTTGATGGTGATAAACTCCTTTAGCCTTTGTTTTGGTCTGGGAAGATCTTTATTTCACCGTCTATTCTGAATGATAGCCTTGCTGGACAGAGTAGTCTTGGTTTCATATCCTTGCTTTTCATTACCTTGAATACTTCATGCCATTCCCTGTGGCCTGTAGAGTTTCTGATGAGAAATCAGCTGACAGCCTTATGGGAGCTCCTTTGTAGGCAACAGATTGCTTTTCTCTTGCTGCCTTTGATATTCTCTCTTTGTCTTGAATTTTTGGCATTTTAAATATGATGTGTCTGGGCATGGGTCTATTTGGATTCTTCTTGCTTGGGACTCTCTGTGCCTCCTGAACTTGTGTGACATTTTCCTTCACCAGGTTAGGGAATTTTTCTGCCATTATTTCTTCAAACAGGTTCTCTAACCCTTGCTTACTTTTGACCTTTTCTGGCACTCCTATGATGTGAATATTGTTATGTTTTATGTTGTCCCACAGCTCCTTTACACTGTCCTGTTTTTTAATTGTTTTTTTTCTTTTTTGGATCTCTGATTGAGTGATTTTTTCTACCCTGTCTTCTAATTCGCTGATCCAATCCTCAGCTTCCTCTAAACTGCAATTTATTCCTTCCAATGTATTATTTCTGCTATGTCATTCTTAATTTCTTTTATATTTTTTCATGCTGTTGAGCATCCTTACAGTCAGTATTCTGAACTCTATATCTGATAGAATGCTTATCTCCATTTCATTTAGCTCTTTTACTGGAGACTTCTCTTTTTCTTTCATTTGGGGCTTGTTTTTTGTCTCCCCATTTTGGCTGCTTAATTGTGGGGGGGGGTTTCTATGTATTAGGTAGATCTGCTAAGACTCTCAGTCTTTTTGGACAGTCTCTGGTGCAGGCCAATGTCAGACACTGTTTGTAACTGCCTTGAGTACCCTGTTTGGAGCTATCAACAACCCATGGCTTGAGGTCCCCTCTGTTGGGGCTGGGTGTGTTTGGACAGGACCAAGATGCACACCAAAGTCTGCTTTTCCAAGGCCTGGGTCCAGAAGCAGATCAAGCAAAGACTCAAAGCATTCCAAAGTCTGCCTCTACCCACAGGCTGATTAATCTGATTCTCTTAATGAGCCTCAGGCTGTAGAAACTCCGTGGGGTAGGGTGAGAGGTTTTTCAGCAGGGTGGGGCAATTGCTTCCCCCTCAGGCAAAAGCTGCTTGGAAGGTAAATGTCTGCCTCTGCAGTCTGGGGGAATGACTTGGCACAGGAATTCAGAGGGGTNCCCAAAAACCTAGATTCTACTTACACAGTTCCAGTCCACTCTGCTCTCCCTCTGACAGAGCCCAAGGTGAGCGGCTGTACACGAAACTTTGTGTGTTGCTTCTTTAAGAGGGTGCCTGCAGTTCCAGCCTTCTCTCCCTGGTAGAAAGAAACCCAGCTACTTTTCACAGCCAGATGTTATGTGGGCACTTTTCTTAGTTCTGATGCTCTGGGCTTGGAAGCCCTGCCTGGGGTTTAGGCCCCCGAGGCCTCAGTGGGAACCCCCCACAGCTGAGATATTTCTCTGGACCATCAGCTGCTGCCTGTGGGAGCCCAGCCAGGCCTCTCACACCTCCACACTTCCTATCAGTCTCTATGTGGTCTTCACTCTTCTTCCTTGGTTATGAGGGTGCTCTCCAGCTCGTCTTCAGTTTCAGTTGATTATTCAGGATTGTTTTTCTATATTTTAGTTGTAATCCAGTTTGGTCCCAGGAGTGTATCAGTGTAGCTTCTACTCAGTCTGCTGCCTTCTTTAACCTCCCCGCATAAAATTCTTTAAGGGCTCTACAGTTCTTAGTATGGTCCTCTATATGACATGAACACTAACTTTGAGACACAGAACTTAGCTTGTTCAATCAGAAAGTGTTTACTAATGCAATAAAAATGTTTGCTGATTGGATTTGTGCACTGAAAATATCTTGATCTTTCCTCAATTCTACCTCAGGGTGTAACAGTAGAATGAAACTCAGTGGCCGACCCTATAGACACATGGGAGTCCTTGGAACTTCAAAACTCTATGACATTCGAAAAACTATCTTTACCTTCACTCCACAGGTGGGTGGAATGAGCTTTACCATATATAGAGGTGAATGGAAATAAAAAAGAAACATTAGAGAAATAAAGCATTTACTGGGGTTTTGACAAATGTCAGAGTTCCACATGCCTTGTACATATTAAGTTGCTCAATAAATATTTGTTGAGTTGCACTGAATTGTATTTCTTGCATAAAGTTTTGCCAAGTGACTATGGCTACCAGAAGTAGTCCTGGGTGTTGCAGAATTAGTGACTAGGGATTTTACAGATGTTTGAGTACTTTAAAAAGTACACCTTACTTTTAAAAATTAAGAATAAGATTATTCTTATTTGTGTTTGTATTCTTTATAAAT